ATTACACTAGATACAAATTAGGAAACAAATTTACGGAACAAACTGAAAGGAAAATACATGAAATATTTTAAATTCAGCAACAACAAATAACAAACTCTTATAACCGCTCCTGCTACTGAAAGCAACTGCGGTGTTTTGTAACTATACTAATTGTTACAAAACGATTGTTAAAGTGTAACGATTGGAATCCACGTTTCGAACCACTGCGTTATCTCACTCCGGATTAGGCAGAAGGAGACAGGTGCTAACTACCAAAGTAGGCAAAAGCCAATAGGCTAAAACTGGGCAGAGCAAGTCAACTAAGCAAAAGAGCTAAAAAAAAAAAAAAAATGCAGCCAAGCGGCTAATAGAGCAGGGGTGCCTTTCGGCTAAAAGGAAAGAAACAAAAAGCCAAAAACAAGTCGAAGAAGGGGAGAGCTATTACGGCTAAAAAGAAGGGGAACAGGCGAAATGAAGCAAAGCCTATCGACTAAAAGGGGCTGAGAGGAAAGGCTAAACTTAGAGAAAGCTTTGTAAACTTAAAACAAAAAAGGGCCGAAGTCATGACGGCTAAAACAGGAAGTGAAGGGACAGCCAGTGAAGTTACAATGACGTAATTTAGGGTAAAAAAAAAAAAACCACTTTTTACATAAATGAACAATTAATTAAAGCAGAGTAAAATGTAAAATAAACATATATACAAACAAAATAATAATCATAACATATAAAATAATAATCATAATCATAACAAATAAATAATCATAATCATAACAAATAAATAATAAATAACAATAATAACAAAATAATAGAAAAATTCAAAGAAACTTATAAACAGATATACAATTTCCTGCAGGTGTATATACTACACCACTACAGTAAAGACTGCACTACAGTAAACACTACAGTGACTAAATAAATGAGCATTACATTGAAGTGAATGGAAGAAAAATAACAATCAGAATGACATAAACATTGTAGGATTAACGATAAACAATAAAGTCTGAGTCATTTACATGTATAAGTTGCATAATTGACTTCATGGCATTAAGAGTAGAATTGCATTTTGCCAATATTTCCAGTGAAGGCAATGGCGATGGAAAAAGAGTTGTTCTTTCTTTTACTGCTATTGGACAAGACGTGATGTAATGGAGAGCTCCTGCAAGCTCTCCACTTGTCCCGCAGCCACATCTTGTGTTTTTTTTATGAAATCTTTGCATATATTGCGGAAAATTTACCATGATTTGTCAAGACTTGATTTAAAATGTGATCTGATTGTATACGAGAGAGAGAAATTTGTGGAAAAAAGGCATAAGTCGAACGTCCTGTAGACTCCTCATCCCATCTTTGCTGCCATGTTTTAAGCGATTCTTGCAGGATTTGATGTTTGGCCGAAATCTCTGAAAGTGGCACTTCAACATCTATCTGATCTTGTTGCGTTGCTCTTTTTGCTTCGGAATCTCCTCTTTCGTTCCCTGCGATTCCAATGTGAGCTTTAATCCAATGTGAGCTTTAATTCCAATGTGAGCTAAATTAAGCTCTAGAGAATGGGAATCTAAAAGAGTTTTTATGATTTCCTTTAAGCTAAGAATGTTCCTTTTCGTAATTTTATCACTATTTAAACTTCGAAGGGAACTACGACTATCTGTAAAAATACGAATAGGAATGTTGTCAGTTATTGTGGAACCTATCCAGATGAGTGCTATTTTTAAAGCAAGAACCTCTGCTTGGAACACGGAAGCCGTATCATTTAATCTATAAATTTCTGAATGAACTTCGTGCCCATTGTTGTACATAACGAAAGCCGCACCTACATGTTTATCAATCTTAGATCCATCTGTAAAGATTTCGATATTTTCCTGTGTTGGAGTATTTTTATGCCAGGGAATTATGTCTTGATGAGCAGGGTGTGTGTGGAAGTGCGGGACTCTTTCTTCTAAGGTATTGTACCATATAACAAGATTGCTTATTTCCAAGTTTTCCTTATAATGAATTAGTCTAAAGAATTTTCTCTCCATCTCAGCTTTTATGTCTAAAGGCATAAGGCCCGAGAGAACTTGCAGAGCTGATGTGGGAGATGTTGAATAACACTTGGTAATACATAAAAGAACTGACCTTTGTATTTGTGAAAGTTTTTGCTTTTGGCGTACGGTTCCCGTGAACCACACGGGACACCCATAAAGTATTATCGCTCGATAGCTCTGAGATAAAGTATTTTAAGTAATTTTCCTTTCTTTCTTGCTCCAGTTTTGAGAAATGATCCGATTTAGTTTATGAATTAAATTTTGTGTTTTCTCCTTTAAATGTACTAAGTGTGGAATCCATGTGAGTTTCTGATCAAGAATAAAACCCAAATATTTTAATGTAAAACTTCTTGAGATGGTAATGTTGTCCCACTTAATACGTGGAGGCGATCTATGTAATTTAGTGCCTTTAGGAAACAAAATTAATTTGGTTTTATCAATACTAAATTTAAGTTGATATTTATTACTCCAGTGCTTAAGTTTTTCTAAAGCTCTATGAGCCTTTTCTTCAATTCGCAGTCTGTTGCTACCAGAAATGATGACTAAGAAATCATCAGCATATGCTTGAATTTTTACGCCTGTGTCAAATTCTAAATTTAAAGCTGTATCAGCCAAAATATTCCATAAAGTGGGCCCTAGGTTGGAACCTTGAGGTGCGCTTTCTGATAAGAATGTGAGATATTGACTCCATCTCTTTTATATTGTATTTTTCGGTTACTCAAATAACTTCGAATTATGCGAAAAAGATTTCTTGGACATTTGACTTCATTTAACCTTGATAGCAATCCAGGCCACCAAAGGTTATTGAACGCTGATGCAACGTCTAAAGAAATAACACAAGTATGAAGATTGTTTATTCTATTGTTATGAATTTCATTAACTAGGTTATTTACTGCATTAATTGTGCTACGACCCGTTGTGAAACCATATTGTTGGCTATTGAGTATTTTCTTTGCAATCAAAAAATGAGTTAGTCGTCGTGCAATAAGCTTATCTAAAAATCTTCTCCCAAGCCGATAAAAGGCAAATGGGTCTGTAGGCATTGGGATTTGTAACATCTTTCCCTTATTTTTGAAAAAGGACTAAATTACCAATTTTCCATTCTTCTGGAAAGTAACCAGTTGCTAAACATCTGTTCATAATTCGATTCATTAGATTTGGATTAGCAATAAAGACTTCTTCTACGATATCTATGGAAAGTTCATCGTCCCCCGACGCTTCTCCTCTTTTTGTAGATTTTATGATATTTTTTATTGCTTGGGTAGTTATTGGGAGATCATCATCTGTGTCTGGAGTTATCATAGAACGATTTCTTATCTCTCTGTGTTTTTCCTTATCATCGTCAATGTTGTCCTGAGGGAAGTGAGCACAAATGATGTAGCGTAGAGTATCTTCAACTGTGTTTGTCCAACTACCATCTGTCCTTTTAATTTTACTGAGTTTAAGTGCTTTATATCCTTTTCCTTTAACTATATCGTAGTAAGTATTAAAGGGAGATTTCAGTTTTAAATTCTCCCAAACCTGTAATCTGGCATTATATATATTTCTTTTATAAGCCGCCGCTGCTTTATTGTAGATTTGACGTTTATCTTTCCTATCTTGATTCCTTGCATTTTGATAGTTTTTGCGCAATTTCTTTAGTTGTCTTCTTTCCTGTGTGAGAGCATGGTTATACCAAGTTTTTGTAGTTTTGTGTGTTATATTAGATCGTAAATGCCTTAAATATTGTTTAAAGAGCGTCTTTAATTTTTCTGAAATTTCTTTAATTGTAGAATTAATTTCTGCATCAGAATTCAAATTAAATTCTGAACAAGAAAGATCTGTTATCTCCTGCCTTAATGTAAGCCATTGAGAGTTTTCAATTCTCAGTTTGAGTTTTTGAGAAGAAGGCCTCATATCCATGTGAATTTCAAAATTAATTGCTTTATGGTCACTTAACGTGTCTCTCGGATCAACTTCCCAATTTTCTATTTTTAAACTTTGTAGCCCTTTGAGGAGAGTTAAGTCAATCCATGAATTTCCCAGAGGACCTACAAATGTCAGGGTGCTATTTTGTTCATTAATAACTGTGAGATTAGTTGTTGCTAGAAAGTCTCCCACTCTTGTTCCACGACGGTTTGTTGGTACTGGACCCCACATACTATGTTTCGAATTAAAGTCCCCGCAGATAACTATTGGAAGATCACCTGCATCATTTATTATTCCTTCTAATGTAATTAATATTGGATCAATTTCTGTGCTTGGTGGACAGTAGACCGAGATTAATATAAAAGCGGGCGATCCTTCTACTTTGATTACTGTTATTTCCTCCGTTGTGAAAATCTGAATGATTGAAAAAGAGCCCTCTTTCACAATTATTGCAGCTTTTGCTTGTATTTGGTGAGAATAGATCCTATATCTTTGTGGAAATCCACTTACCGCATTTTTAATAAGGTAAGGTTCTTGTATGTCAAGCTTATTTGGAACTGCCAATGCCATAAATTTTAGGAATTCATTTCAGCGGAAGTATTCAAAATAGAAAGGAAACAGTTCGTGTGCTGTTCTACTTCACGAGCGCGGAGGTTTAGCCAGAAATTGAAGAACCCGCGTTTCGGCAATATGTTAATCTTCAACGTGACTTCAAGTTGCTGAATTAGCAGCGGTATTGTAAAACGCGTGAGGTGTTACTTTTAGAGAGCCTCGTAGTTAATCTTGTCATTAGTTTCTTTTCAGTTATTTTTTATTTACCGCCGAGTTGGCGTAGTTTGTAGCGTCACGTTATAATAGCATTGTAATTTATTACGTTGAATAAAAGGGACTTAAACCCTTAACAAGATCTGTCATTTATCCAGTTTCAACAATCACCTTTGGTTGCGTGCATTGGAGGCGCGCAACGCTTAAGGTTCTTGTATGCATATTTTTTTGGAATATTTTCAATTCAACTTTAATTGTGCTTTGCACTCCGTGAGTGCTGTAAATTTAACTGCGTTATTTTAACTATATCCATAATTAATCTTTTAATTAACGATCCATTTCTCTTTGCTTACTTGCACTATTTTTACTTACACTACTATGATTGATATCCAAATTCAAATGATAATGCTTATTAGCATGCTTGCAGTTGACACATTTTTCTTGCGGAAAATTGCATTCTTTGTTAAGGTGTCCTCTTTTACCACATTTGAAACATCTTTGTTCTCTTGTACAAGATCTTTTTGTGTGACCAAATTCTAAACAATTTTTGCATTGAATTACTCGGATATACTCACGAATGTTTTTCCTTGTCCAACCAATATTAACCTTTTGAGATTGCATTATCGACTTAAAAAGCTGTGGGGTCAAGTGAGAGAACCCAATTATATCCATGTTGACCTTTCATTTTGAATTTAATTTCCATGGTCGCATCACGTAGCTCATGATTCTGTGTTTTTAGAAGTTTAGCAATTTTCCTTAAAACCTTCCTCTACATTGTAGATTATGATTTTAGGATTAATTTTTGTCGGTTGTTTTGGTTCAACCAAGTCCTTTAATTTTGCATTTTCCTTAATTGCATCCTCCAGAATTTTAAGTTCTTCCTCTTTATTGGTTTGAATTAGAATGCCTCCTTTGCGAATTTTCCTGACACTTTTAACTCCTATTTTGAGTTTTGCAGGACTTATATATTTTTCAACTTTTTCTTTTGTATTCTCTGATGTTGATCCATCCTCTTTTGGGTAAACCAGCAGGATATGTTCGCTCTGGCCTTTATGTCTAGATTTTGATCGACTTCTTTCGTGCACTGTCTTTGCAGCCTTCTCTGCATAAGTCTCTCGAATAATTCCATTGCTTTTTACCTCCGCTAAACCTTGCAAATAGTTTTCTATGTTTTGTGATTGTTCCAATTGTCCTTGGAGTTGCGCTATCACTGCATTTTGTTTTGTTACAATTTTGAAAATATCCAAGAAATAAGATCTTAGTGTCTTAGAGAGTTTCTTTGAAATATTCTCTCGAGAAAGGATACCCTCTAAATTTTCTAAGCATTCAAATGCAGAATCAGTAAATTCACTGGAACAAGAGTCTTTGGAAGTAAAATTAGGAGGATTACAATCTTGTCCATTTGAAACTTTAACGCTAACGTCCTTAGCAGTACTATCTGTTATAACTGGATCTGATATATCTCCATGTGTATTACTAAAATGTGATTTTGAATGTGCTGAAATAGATCTTTCTGCATGTGGAGTTAGAAAATGAAGACCTACCGCTATCCACACCTGGTGGCTTATGGTGTTCTGTGTTTTCCTCGTAGCTGCTGCCATAGTTAAATAATAACTCTTATTAATCCTACTTTAAACCATTACGAAATATATAGTCAAACTAATACTTAAAAAAGGATGAAATGATGATAAATGTTACCACTAAAGGTAATAACGATACTAGAAAAGAAGTTTTACAGGGAAATTGAAAGCTAGGTAAGTATAAACTATATGAATCTTAATGATAGTCTTAAATTCAGAAAAAAAAAATCCTTGGTTTGTCGCAGACTTTTCATAAAATTATATCGATTTCGAGGGCGATCATAAGAATTATCTCTTTTTCAGAAGCAAAAGAGAAATTTTAAAACCATTGCACTCCTTCCGTACCCTTTATCTAATCCTTAAGTTTTTTTAAATGTAATAACCAGATTTTCATAGATACCATTCAATCACACTATAAAATTTTTAATGTTATATTTGAATAAATTAGAGATCAGAAGTCCGTATGGGGCTTTAATTCGTCATGAAACAGTAGTTTGTGAGATGGAGGATAATAGTATGTTCAGATGTTCAGCGTTAAACAAAAGATAAAAGTTTCTTTTTTTTTTTTTTTCTTTCTTTTTTTTTTTTTTTTTTAGAAACGAAGAGTTTAGTGTCAGCACAAAGACGTTTTCAGTTTTCACGCGTCCATCAAGTGTCTGCTTGCCTGAAAAGGGCCACAGGTCTTCTTTTATATTCTCATAAAAAATGGAGCTCGCCCACACACTGCAAATATTGATCCTGATTTACTTTACGAAATGTTTAAAGGAGTTATCACATCTAGCGACGGTCCCCGCTAGACGGGACTTTTCTGAGAAAGAAGATGCTGGTAGTATTGGTTTAAACGGGAGAATTCCTAGAAAAAAACAGCTCCACTGGAAGCGAAGTCCCGCCAAGCTACGGAAACGATGTCCCGGCTACGCGGGATGTTTTGAAACTTCGCCGAAAATTTCGTCTGCATCTCCGTCCCGGGTAGAGATCAACCAATCAGACGAAAGTTCTACTTCTGAAGGATCACGTCATGCCAGTCTGAGCGATAATCGATTACTTTTTGGTGTTCAAGTCTGTTTTCTAAGTAAAAAGGGTAACCTAGCTACTTAGATTTCGTGGAAATGTGCGGGTTTTTGGAAATGTCCCTTTCGTCGTCCAGTCCCGTGTAGAGGAAACATATGTGATAGGGACTTAATGTGCCTGTAATGTTACATCGGTCTCCTGAATATTACGGAATTGGTAGGGAGCGATCCCTGCGTAGTCTGGATACTAATCCGCATAGATACCGTATTCACAAAGAAGTCTGCAGGTGTAGCGCAAATCAAAGTTCTTATCGTGAAATTTCGTAAGATGTAAGATTTATCAAAATGCCGAAATAATTTCTTCAGTTTTTAATTAGCTTAAATAATTTCTAGGAACTGAAAAAGCTGGGATAAAGTTACGAAATATTTCACCGAAGAAAAATTAGCAAACACCTTACTCGAGTTGTCTTTAATGAAATACTTTTTTTTTTCGATAATAAATGAAATGTAGAAGAATATTTCCTCCAAGACTGCTCGAGATACTCGTAAAAATTGAATCACTCTTTTTTTTTTTTTTTTTTTTTCCTTTTTCCAAGTGTTAGTTTACCACGTTGACAAGCCGAAAACAGAATTTTTTCCTTTTAATTAAACTAAGGAATAGATTTAATTAACAGTTAATCTAGTCGAAAATTATTTGCTTCGTTGGAATTATACTGATAATTTTTTTAGATGTTTTTAGATTTATTTTTTCATGTTCTTTCTTTATTTTTCGAATGATAATTTTTATTAGTATATAATTATCTAAGCAGAAACTTTAAAATTCGTAACAATGTAAAATTTACTGTATTTTTTGGAATGCTTTTGCAAATGAATTGCTTTCTTATAATAACCATTTTTCATTCTATCGTTAAACTTATTTTCTACAAAAGCAAACTGCCATCACCTTTAATTTATGAGCAAATCAAAACAAACAGTTCGTATCCTAAGTTGGAATACTCTAGTCTCTTGCATAAACTTAAAATATTTTTAAAAAATTTACAAACATAAGAGGTAGCTAATACATTTTAATAGCTCTTACAAAAAAGTAATAAAATGTTTTGACATAAGATCGCATCTAGAAGCCCTAACATGGCCTGTCCTAGCATTTTTATCCTTAAGAAAGCATGTGTATCCTGTATAAGCATAAGTAAGCATGTGTATTCTGTTTCGAAATTTTCAAACTAGAATGCTCTTTTCTGAAATATCAAAATTAAACTATTCCGGAATTCGTTTTTTAAAACAGATATAGCTTCCTATCAATTACTTTAAAACACTATTCAAGAGTTCCAACGTACTATTATGTCAGCATGGCCAATTTGGTAATTATGAATCGTCATTGGGTGGTTTGAAATGTATGAGAGGGGACCGCATGTATTTTAAGGTGATATTTTTTTTTCGAAATTACTATCTCATATGGCAGTTCTTAAATAAAACTTTTGCGCTAATCTTTCTGATATCTAGTGGCTTACCTTAGACTATACTTAGTGTCACGAAAATCTACTGCATGTAAATTAACAATATTTTATTCAACAAATAATAATAGTAAAAATAAATAATAGCAAAAACGCAATTTATCTGGAATGCTTGTGGCTTTATAAATTTGAAATTATTTAATATTTAAACACACTTTATTAAGAACATGACAAAATAATTGCTAATTTGTGGGGGAAACGTAGCCTCCTTTTGGCAGCATGGCTCTAAAAATGTGCATACAGTTTTGGTAGTTTAGAAGAAATTATTGTATGCCTCCATGCTGTTTCTTGCAGCGTAAATGGCAACATGCGTAACTGACATCGGAAGACTAGAAGTTCTAATCACGACAATGAACTTTTCTCATTTCTCTTTAAAAAAATATTGATAAAAGAGAAGGTTTCAGATTTTAAATTACGTCCAAAGGGGCCTTTTTAACATTTTGTCTGTTATATTTACTTATTAAATATAACGTTCTTCGTATTTAAACCATAAAATTCAGTTCAACAGCAATATTGCAAAATATTTTTAAATTGAACGTATGTTTAGAATTTCCGATACGCAGTCTCACGAGCTGGAGATAAAAATGTTTTTTCTGTACAACGTTGCCATCGTTCGCTTTGAAATCCTTGAGTTTGTTAATCAAAAATTCATTAAAGTTTTACAAAATCTGAAATAGATAGTAAAACATATTCAAAATTCCAAATTTGGGCTTCAGATGTCCATATTCGGGTGGAAATGTACGTTATTCAAAATTGGATGGCTCTAGGTACCGTTACTTTATCACAATGCGAGAAACATATACAAATTTGTGCAGATTCTTCATGCTTTAATTTCTTTAAATGTAATACAAGGCTCTAGTATTTGGTGGCAACAATTTGAAAAGTGAACCGACTCTTACAGTGAATCAACGCAAAATGCCAAAAAAACAAAATTTATAGTTCTTCTGGGCAAAGTGCCCCTTTGGACTTAAAAAAAAAAAAAGCGAGTTGTTTGAAAACATTGCGAGAAACATAGAAACATATATATATATTTTGCAGATTCTTCATTATTTAATTTCTCTAAATATAATACAGAGCAATTATATTTGGCGGCAACAATTTCAAAAATGATTCGCCGTTTATAGTGAATCGATGCAAAATGCCAAAACGAAATTAATAGCCCTTCTGAGCTAATGCTCCTTTGGGCTAAAAAAAACCCTAATATATTTCTATACTGCAACAGGGAAAAATATGTGATTGATCATAATTCACCGTTATCTAAAGCTGGGGGTGGTTATTAAATGGATCTCGTGTCTTTGCCCTAGATATTAATGTTTTTGAAGCCATTTTCCCTCGTAAATAGGTAATAATTGAAATCATACTTCCCAATCAAATAGGCATCTAGAAAGTACTCACTAATCATAAAGCTAAGAGTTTATATTTAACCTCTTTAATCGCATAACTAAATTTTGTATAACCTTTGAATTATCTGATATGTGCTTGACTGAAACAAGAACTGTTTGACTTGCTTGGCTGAAACAAGGAATGAAAGCGTAAGTACTAAAAATAGACCGTTTGTAAATTAGGTTAAT